AACTCTTTTTAATAATAATAATAATGCATTTTGTTTATAGAGCGCTTTGCTTGAAACTCAAAGACACTTTACAGAGTTCAAATTCATAAAAACATAATTAAAACAACACACTTAAAATATTTGAAACACAACATTAATGACAGACTAAAAGCGGTTCTGGAGAGGTGAGTTTTGTGATTTGAACATGGTGAGATCAGGCACTCACGGATGTGTTTGGGGAGTTTCTATCTGAATATGGACCTCCTACTGTAATTCATGCATTTCATTGTCATATTTGACATTTCCTTGTGATTTCTTCCTGTGATTTCGGTGTCAGCTAAGTCCTTGACTTCCACTGGTACCATGTAAACCAGTGCTAGCTGTTCCATGGTCGGGTCGTCGGCGACTAAACCGGCTCCCCCACCTGGCCTCGGTCTTGTGTGGAGGGTGATGGAGACACCCAGCAGGACTAAATACAAAACCTGTCAAAGGGCGGATGAGCTCCTCGTGAGCCAACGGCCATCTCCTGCAGCCAATGTTGGCGCCAATGTATTGACCTCTGTCTTTCCTTGGAGTCCTGTCAGCGGAGGCCAAGTGTGGTTCCTGCAGCTTGGGCAACGCTGGAGCCCTCATTCCCGACAGTCGACAGCGACAGTCTACGGGTTATAAGCTCCAGTCAGATTGGCGTAAGATGGAGCACCACGGGTCCTCTGCGCCGGTGGGAGGGGTCATCCTGCCCCAATGGTCATCAACCGCCCGCCTCAAGCCAGGCAGCCCCTGGCCAGTTGGGTTCTGACCCGCCACGTCTATTGCTTCGATGGGGTGGTCGCAGCAACCATGGACGATTTGGTGGAGCGAAAACTACTTTTAGTGAGCAATCTAGTAACTTTTTTCTTTTTCGTCCATAATGCAAGAGTGGGCTCTTAACATCCAGTGAAGCTCATTTTCATCCATACCGCGTTACATTGTTCCAGACCATGGATGGTAATGTGTTTCTATGAAAAGGCAGGAAATTGAACTTAGCAATTATGCGTAAAGTCTAAAAGTAAATGTAATTAGGACACGTGGAGGAAACAGTGTACCAGTCAACATGAGGATAAAGGGCAACACTACTTTCAACTCACCATTTTGTGGTATATAAAGCATGGTTTAAACAGTGAATGTTTTGTTTATAAAGCTATAATTGGTAAAAGGCAGATTTAATAGGTCTTGACATATGCCACTAATTAGCCAAACTACAGATTCTCCGAAATGTGTTTTTAGCCTGCACAGCATCGCTTTAAACCACATTATAAATATGCGGTTAGAAAATGCTAAATGAACAGGCTCAAGGTTAGGTGATATTGGGAAGGTGCTGCTCTGTACACATCCTAGAGGGGAACAGAAGAACTTTGATATAATGTTCTTTAGATCCAGTTACTGTAAAGGTGTTGACGGTATAAGGCCGTAATTTCATTAAACCGAAAAAGCTTACCGTCAGGCCCGTCTTGCGATTCTTTTTGAAACGCCCACATCCTAAACCCAGAGGCCTTGATGTGATGTGCTTAGATATTATATTTTCAGCATGTGGCTCTTCTTTCCTTTTCTTTCTGAAAAGTGGGGGATAACCACTTCACAATAAAGGAGCAGGTCTGAAGGGATGAATCCGCAGAAGGAACAGAAGAAGGAGGAAGGAATAATGCTGGTTTATAGTTCCAGTGAAAAAACCCTCTGAAAATCTTTTCACTTTCTTCTTATTTTCCAAGCTCTTCTAGATGAATAAACTTTGTACAAACATATGGGGCGAGGGGTGGCAAAAGTACACACATCCTTTTACCAGGTAGAAGTACCAGATACTCGTGTTGTAAAAGTAGAAGTCTGACAAATCTTCTTTACTGCAGTCAAAGTAAAAGAGGCTTGGAAATGTATGTCAGTAAAAGTCCCATAACTAGCAGCTGTTTGTAAAGAGTAACCTGACCCCTCCCTTTATTTAATAGACAATTAATGGTCATTGTTTACTAATGAATGTTCCATGGTGGAAACGGGCCAACATGGCAACGGTTCCCATTGGTTCTTCCTTTAGAGAAGATCCAGGAATGATGATACCGGATCGTGGTTCAATCCCAATTAGGCACGCATGACTCTTAATAATAATGATCACGCACCAAACACAGCATTAGACTAAGGACAGCCTGTTTGGAAAATGTTGGAAGTAGAAAGTACAGGTATGTTGCGTTCAACACATGTAGGTAGAAAGTTACAGGTATTTGGTTCACATGATAAAGAGTGAAAGTACAGGTATTTGTGTTCAACATGTAGGAAGTCCAGTAAAAAGTACGTCAGAACAATAAGTATGAGTGAG